AAATATCTACGCAAATCCTTTGACCATTTTTAAGTTGGATTGTGTGTCTCTTTACTGTGAGAGTTCTTTATAGTCTAGATACTAGTCCCTTATCAGATACATGACTCTTTTCTCCCATCGTGTGTGTGTGTGTGTGTGTGTGTTTCACTTTCTCGGTTGTGAAGCACAAGTTTTTAATCTTGATGTAGTCCCATTTGTCAAACTTTTTGGTCATTTGTGTTTTTGTGTCATATCTAGGAAACCATTGTTTCATACAAGGTCATAAAGAGTTATCGCATGTTTTCATCTAAGAAACAATCTATTTTGAGTTAATTTTTTGTATGGTATAACATAGGGTATTGTCCAACTTCACTTTTTTCCATGTGGTTATACACCTGTCCCAGAACTATCTGTTGAAAAGACAATTACTCCCTGTGGAATTATTCTGATAACTTGTTGACATATTTCTTGTTTTTTCGTTTAAAGACTTTATTTATTTATTTGACAGGCAGAGGTAGAGGGACAAGCAGGCTTTCTGCTGAGCAGGGAGCCCAATGTGGGGCTCGATCCCAGGACCCTGGGATCATGACCTGAGCTAAAGGCAGCCACTTAACCGATAGAGCCACCCAGGCACCCCTCTTGTTTTTTACTGTGGGAGAAATGACCCAGGTGTGTGTGCTGCTGGGCCACACCATGCACAGATCTGGGAATGGTGATGAAGGAGAAGGAGGAAAATGACTGGAGCAGCGGCCTCCAGAGGGAGAGGGGTGCCCAGTGGAGGGGCTGGCATCGTCAAGGTCAAGGTCAATGTTTAGTACTAGGAGGAGAGATGGACACTGATGTCAGCAGTGAACTTTCTCTCCTTTCCGCAGTGACACAGGCACCAAGTCAGCACTGCAGAGAAGCAGAGGACGAGGGTTGGGAGCTGGAGGAAGAGGTTAGTGGGAGTGGAAGTAGGCTGGGAAAATGCAGGATACTTGCCAGCAACATTGCCGCCCCCTCTGAGCTTAGCGATGATGAACTGAAACAGGTGCAGTGGGAGAGAATGGAGGGATCCAAGGCCTCTGAGGGCTCTCTGTGCTGGGATATAAGGAGAAAGCTGGTTCTTAGTGGCTGCAGGTAGCAGCTCTCTCCTGATGATGGTCAGGGTCATTCCAAGGAGGATATCTTTAGCCATGCAGAGGCCAACTTGTCCTCTCAACACAGGAAGATGATGCCATCGCCCCCAAATCTAATTAGAGAGGGTGGGGAGGGAGTCACCAGTAGTCCTCAGCTCCAATACCCCATCTGTCTCAGTGGGCTTGGGCTGCCACAACAAATACCAAAGACTGGGTACTTAACTAATAGTGGACTTGTACTTAACAATGGACATTTACTTTTCCGAGTCTGGAGGCTGGGAGCCCCAGAACAGGTTGCCAGTATGGTTGGATTCTGACGGGAGCCCTTGTTTGCAGACAGCTGTCCTCCCACTGTGTCCTCACAAGGCAGAGAGATAGTGAGTGAGGGCTCTGGTGTCTCTTCTCATAAGGGCTCTAATCCCTTCTTGGAGGTCTCCACCATGACCTCATCAACCCTCATCACCTCCCAAAGACCCCACATTCAACACATTAATTTGGGGCACACAGTTCAGTCCACAGCACCATCCAAGCTGCTCTTGACCCCCAAGAAGCCCAGATGCTGAACTTCACGACAGAGAAGGGACAGAAAGAGGTACCCAGCCCTTACAGGGAGATGTCCACATCACTGGCAACCAACGTGAAGAATCTTTCATCTTTACACTTTCTATCATGTATCTTACAGAGTTGTGAGGCCTAACATGCGAGCCACAGGCCACACGTGGATTGACACATCAGTAGTCAGAATGGAGATGTGCTGCAAGTGCAAAACATACGCACCAGGTTCCAAAGACTTAATATTTTTAAAAAAGGAAAAGATCTCAATAATCATTTATATCAATTACATGTTGAAATGATAATATGTTGGGATATTGGTTTAAATTATTAAATGAATTTCATCTGTTTCTTCTTAGTTTTAAAAATGTGGTTACTAGAAAATCTAAAATTATATATGTGGTTCACATTTGTGGCTTGTATGAGATTCTGTTGGAGAGACACTGGAGAGAGGACCCCACATTGAAAATGGCCCCAGCATGGCAGATCCTCCTGCCTCAGTCCATGGGCGCCTGTGCTGCCGCCCGGGGATGAGCCTTACAAGTGCGTCTTACAGCGGGGTCATGTCTCGGAGGAGGTAGGGCCCCTAGGGCAGGCTTGTGAGGACACAGCCTTGTGGGAACACAGCTGGAGCCCAGTGCAGGTGGCCTTGGACAGTCCCTGGGAGGCAGCCCCGGGGAGCAGGGGCCAGGCTGGTTCTTGTTTGGTTTAGGGACAGGAAAGTAACACCCATTTTCCAACACTGGAGTCGCCCCAGGCACAAGATGCCAAACCTGGAGATTCTTGGCTGCCTCTGCTTCCTCTGAGCCATGGTCTCATTGCCTGGGAAGCCGGTAGGTCCCCAGCACCTGTTACAATTGGTCTTTCTCTTTATTCCTGTCTCACATGCACGCTCATGTGAGATTGCTGTAAGGCAAATAATGTGTGCGGAGCAGTGTTACTGAACTTCATACACCCATCCCCGCTTACTACTTATTAAAATCGGCCATGATACTGCACAAAGTCAGCTTGACTCTGTCCCTGTTGCTCAGCCCTGGGTTGGCTCCCTTCTCTCCTGCTGCCGTAAACCTCAGTGCTATGACTATCTCTATCTTCTTTCCACTTGAATTATTTTATTGGAATGTTTCCCCTGAAGTGAAATGTGTTGGCTGGAAAGTATATACAGTTTTATGGTTCCTGTGACTTCTTTTCTTCAATTCACCCTCCCAGCGGAAGGCATCACCATGTACGTTCTCCGGACCCGTGTGGTGTGCGCCTGCACCCCGTGGTGCGCGCCTGTGCTCTGTGCGGTGACTTCCTCCAGCCTTGCCAGTTCTGGGATTGAGCATTTGTTTTTATTTTTACCAATTGATTGTTACGTAACAGACACTGCCTGGATATTATCCTGGCATTTTCTTAATTGCAGATGAGAATGAATAACGTCCTTCTGTTAAAATTTACACAAATTTAAGGAACAGCCACCATCTTGATAGTCTAGAGAAACCCTTTTCTGCTCCCTCTGCTTGACGGCATTTGGGGAACCCACAGCTGCCCCGAGGCTGCAAGTCAGCCCGCCAGACCCCAGCTTCACCTTCTGACCCACTGTTATCACAGTCGTTCAAGAAGCCTCCTCCAGCAAATAGTCATTTATCTCCTCCAACAAACTGAGAATGCATCAGACAGTCCCCTTTCCCTGTGTGATATAGACAAATTCCTGGTATTTCTTAGTTGCCATATGTTGATTTTTCGGAATTACACACATTCAGGTTTATCTGCAAGAAAGTTTGCAGGAGATGTGGCTGATGTTCCGTTCATGGCTTATTAAAACCTCAGGAAGACCCCAGCCCCCTCCCCAGGGAAACTCATAAAAGGTCTCCTTGTGGAGCCACATGCTGGCCTGGCAGGTGACCCAGGAAGGCAGGGAGGGAAAAGAGAGAGGATGCCCTACTTGCCCACTAGATGGCACCTCGCAATAATTAATGAGGAGAGGACCACTTCCTTCCAAACCTGGAGCCCTACCCCCACCCCCGCCCTGCATTGCAACACACCCCAGTCATGTTTACTTCCAAGCTAGACATCTCAAAAAACAGAAAAATAAAAAAGTTCATTCTAGATGAAAATACACCATCTGCCTGTGAAAAATCTTGCTCATCGCTGTCATGTCAACACCCAAAGCAGGTTAATAACCGGCCCAGAACAGATGGTTTCTTTTTATAATTACTGGGTCCCCCCACCAAGGCTTCCTCCTCAGCTGCCTCCTTGCCCTGCTGGCAGCCCCCTGCTGTTTCCTGCCTACCTTGCGGCCACCGCCCAGACAGACACCGCCCTGCCAGCCACAGGGGCCAGCCCTCTGCTCAAGCCAGGGCCCCCTCACCCTCTGCTGGGAATCAGGCATGGGGGCCCAGAGGGCTTCAACCCCACCTGGGAAGATGGCCACCAGCAGGCGACCCCGGCCTCGTCACCCCCACTAGCAAAGAAAAACTAATCAAACCAAGATGGTGGGATTTACCCACCAAATCAATAAAGGTTCAAGACACTATCATCCTATTTCTTGGTGAGGACAGTGAGATGTGTACCCCCAAACCCTGTGTCAGGAGAGCAAGTTATTGACACCCACTGTCCAGAATGAATTTTGACTGAATATAACAACCTTAACAAGTATCGCATACTTTTTAATCCAGCACTTTCACTTGGAGGAATCTCTCCAAAAGACTATCAGAGTAGTAGTGAGTAAGACTTCACTCAGCAAGGCCTGCTCCATCTGACCCGGAACTCCTGAGGAGTTAGGTCAGGGTTTTTCCCAAGAATAAAGGCAGGCTGGCCAGGGGAAGGACTTCAAGTGGACATCAGGACAGGACCTCCCAAGTAGGACCCTGTGTCTGTGAGTCTCAAGAAAGGTGAATGGGGGGTTGGGGAAAGCCTCACCCATTCATTGCTCATGTGTTGGGCCCAACGCTCCCAGACCCAGGGGACAGGTGGTCCCAGTTCAGAGGTCCTGCCCTGATGTCTGCCCAAGTCCCTCCCTGGCCTTAATCAGGTGTGTTCTCATTCATCTTCAAGTTTTCTCTACACACACAGAGGTGTCAGAACACCAACTCTCCTCAGCAGGTGCCCCCTTCCATACTCCAGGGAGGCCTGTGCCGTTTCCCATCAGAGAGAGCCCTAAGTCGCTGTCCTGCCCTGGGGCCTAGGGACCTGGGGTGGCTCGGGTCTGTGTGCACACTGACAGCACAGAGGGGCCAAAGCAGGAAAGCTGGTCTCAGGCACTGGTCTTGGGGGGCTTCTGTCATTCTTTAAAGCCACAAATCCCGAACCTTCCCTTGTATGCTGCGTGTATGACCCTGGGTATAAGAGATGCTTTGACACAAAATATGTGAGAAAAGTCCTGTTCAGAAAACATTTATTGAAATTTGATGATACCTAGTCAAGTTAGGGTTCTGAAAGCCAAGGGAATACAGTATTAGGGGAAATTCAGGGTGGACACATTGCTCAGATCCTACCACATCAGAAAGAGTCATTTTCTTTGCTGTAAGTACTTAATTTTAAAAGCAAAATTCAAGAACTACCACGACTTGTCCAATGATGAGACGAAGCCCCTGGGAGGATGAGGGCCCAGGGTGCTGGGTAGAGAAGGGCTGGGTGCCTGGATGTTTTTGGCTTCGCTCCACAGGCAACTGCCCCTCCATGGGGCCACTCAGCCACTGGTCAGGGAGGCGACACATGAGGTAAACATGATTCCGGCATGGGGCAGCTCTTGGCCCTAAGCCCCTGAGCCCCAGGGGAGGAACCAGTCCTGTAATAGATGCTTCGGACAGGGCTCATCGTCACAGGTGAGGAGACGGAACACTCGGGCCTCCTGCTGTGCTCCCGTATGAGTGACAGTGGATTCAAGAAGCTGTCACCCACGTCTGCAGCAGGCACGGCTTCACTTTTCACCAGCTTCCAAGCAAAAGGGGTGTCACTACGCATTACTAGTGCACACGACCCAAAATCCAGTGTCTTCATAAATAATTTCCAGAACATGATACGGCACAATAGGAGCTTCTCCAGCAGGTTTCACTCCATTTAGGTAATACACTGATGGTGTGGGGCTTCCCCAACTCCCCGTCCCCGCCTGGGAGGCCCAGGAATCATCTAAATGAGACCCCCACTTCCAGGAGGAACGACCTAGTCATCATACTGAACTTCGGCCCGGAGCTCCTTGGTGACGTAGTTGACCAGCATGGCCAGCAGCTGCTGCTTCAGGGCCTCGCTGCCCATGACCAGTGTGGTCAGCTGCACAGCGTCCGTCCAGTCCAGGTGCCTGAGGATGGTGGAGGCTTCATTAAAGAGCTTTTGCTGCTCACTGGGCGGCAGCTCCATTATGATCTGAGGAATCGGCTTGAACCGTCCGCTTGTCATCCATGCACCTAAAAGGCCCCCGACAGCCCCCCCTAGAAAACAAGGAAGGTTCAGTTAGTTGGTCCTTATTCATAAATGGTGGCCTCAGACCCTCGCTGGGAGCACGTCCACCGCCGTGACGAGTGAGCACATTCACACACGGGTGGGAACAGGCTCGGCTTCGTGTCCGCTCCACCCCAGGGTGTAGGCGGCAAGGGTTTCTGGGGTCCTCGGTCCATTTGGCTCAGATAATTGACACCCATACGTGCCCTTCCCTAAGTTGTGCACTCACAGACGCAGCACAAAGCATCTCCCACAGCACAACTCTGAGAACTGAAATCTTCTCCAGGGCCCAAGGTTTCCTGCTTCCCATGAAACTCTCATCTTAAAGGACAGAGCTGAGCAGCCAGTGCATTTGCAAGGAGAATCATCTCAGTGGTGAGGCTGAGTTTTCTCCATAATATGCTCTTTGCCCCTGAACTCTGGAAATTTCCAGTGAAATCCTGTGGCTAAAGGACCCTGGGGACACAGAAGGAGACCTTTACCCGAGAAGCAACTATTTTTCATGCCAGCCCTCGAGAGCTGTATGATGAAAACTACTGAATATAACTCACTCAACTATTTCTCTTCCTGTGACCCCAAAAGGGCATAACCATTATTTTTAAAGGTAAATTTATGATCAAATTTCAGGTGCACAATGTTGGGACTTATAGGACTTATGGGAATAAGATGCACAAGGCTGAAGCCCTTATGTCCATGGAAACTTCTATCTGATCAGGCGGGGCAGGTCTGCTAAGGAAGGTGCCCTGCTAAGGAAGGGGTCTCAAACTCAGACGCCCTCTGGGGACAGGCAGGTAGCTGAGAGGAGTGAAGAGGGCTGAGTGAGCCTGTGGGTGATGAAGAACGGGTTCGTGTATAAGGGGCGGGGGCTACCCCTCGCCAGCCCACTGCTACCACACGGAATCCCACATGTGTATCCTGGAAAAAGTTTCATGATTATTAAAAATCGGTCATCAGATATTAATAGATGCAGCCCAGCTGGACTTAGTGACTCTCTCTGAAAGAGCAGAGCGTGGAAAGGGGAGACACTGACTCCACAGTGGATAAACTGGCAAACACCACCTTAACCAGTGGATCAAGGTGGACATAGGGAGGCTGTGGGTGTCACATGTCCCCGAAATGGCGCTATGAGACAGGCGCTCCACCGCTGTCTGCGGTATGCTTTCCCAAGGTCCACAACCCGGGGCTAAGCATGAGCAACCATCAGGCCTACCCAAACGGAGAGGCATTCTACAAATACATGCCCGGGACTCCTCACCAGTACCCAGGCCATGAACGCAGCAAAGTCCGAGCCACTGTCACAGTGCTGGGGAGATGGAGTAAGGAGACATGAGGATTAAATGCTCTGTGATCCCTTGAGCTGGATTCTGGGACAGGAAAAGATCGTAATGCAAAAACGGGCAAAGTACAAAGAAAGTCTGGAGACCAGTTAGTAGGGACACACCAGTGTTGGTTTCTTACTTTTCACAAGTGCACCATGGTGGTGATGTTACGGGAACTGGGTGAGGGATATGTGGGCGTTCTCTGCACAGTCTCACCAACGTGTCTGTAATTCTACTACTGTTGCAGAATTAGAGGTTTTTCTGAGAGAATACACACCAGGCCGGAGAGAACCCAGTTGTGGGCTGGACCGCGCCAGTAGGCAGTAAAACCTGCACCCTCTCAGGAAGCCAAGTGTGGAGGCATCTGGAGGCACACAGCTTCCCTGGGGATAAGCCAGCAGTGGGCCCAGGAGACTGAGTGCCGCACCTGGTCAGCCTTCCCCTCTGCTCCAAAAGAAGAGAGGATTCGGGGAAGGGAAACCAGTCATTTACAGGTTTTACTGAACTTTAGGCCATGACACCCATGAAGAGCTCAGAGCTGACAAACATTTCAATCATCTGCACTAAACCTTTATGAGAACGTCAATATTTGATTTACAGCAGCACTTCATGCAAAAAGTCGCCAGGAATATTGACCAGCAAATTACTAACTCTTTGGACAAGAAAAAATTCCTTGGTTTTCTGGGTAAAATGATGCTCCGCCCATGACTAGTGGCTTCAAGGAGCAAATCCCCGGGTTCTCCTGGCAGACGTCCTGTTCTCTACCAGCTTTGATGGAATCCGAAGAAAATATGTGCTCCCACAATGGCATCTGGGAACAGCTATAGGATAAATGATCCCATCAAGCTCTCCCCTGAGTACATTAGATGGGGGGACAGGGACAGAGACAAAGAATGTCACTGAGGAAGGAGGCCATGGCCATGTCTCCTCCCCCACTGGCTGCTCCTTGGATGGTGAGAAGCTGCAGTCACGACTCCCTAGTTCACAGGTGGGAAAGGGAAATGTACAGGTGGAAGGTCTGGGGTCACCCACACACTGATTTACTCCCCAGTGTGAGCTCTGCATCATGAAATGTCCTTGAATGCCAATCCTGCCACAGAAAGGCAGAACAGGGCAGGAAGCCATGCCGGGAGCCGGAAACAGAAGCCAACCTGGGCAGACAGGCAGTCACCTCTCCAGCCTGTGTTCATGGGAGGACTGCAGGCAGTGCTGTGAGCTCTCCCATGTCCCCAGCACAGGCTGCCCCGCACAGAGCAGGCATTCAGTGATGTATCTGCTGAGCCCAATGCGGCAGACCATGCCTTTGCTGCTCCCCTGTGCTGCAGGGTCCATCTGAGGCACCTCACGGGAAGTGTAATCCAGCCCCTCCTCACGTCAGAACCACACAGCAGCCTGCTCTCTGAGGCCACCCTGGCCCAAGTGGAGGACCACAACAGAATCCTTCCTACTCCTAAGACGTAGGAAGCAACCTTTCCTGGCTCCAAGAAATGATAGGAAAATCAGCCAAACCTCCACTCATAGCCAAAAACTGGCTCTCAAGTAGAAGCAGGTGGCAAAAACGGGGGACAGGGATGACCATCCTAGGATAGTTTGCTGCTTTTTCTGTGTTAGACTGTTGGTTTCATAATGGGGTTGTCTCCATGAATGAGCTCATGTGAAATGGCCAGACAGCATCTGCTCCTAGGAGGTGCTCAGCACCTCCCAGCTTCCTCCCTGCTTCCCTTCTGCAGTGACATGTAATGGTGACAGGGGAAGGAGACCATCCAAGGGACCCAGGACACCCTGATATCTTCAGAGGTCCAGACACATCCCTGAGGGGAGAGGCGCCCTCCAGGTCTGCATGACTCATATGTCATTTGCAAGAATGCCCTGCATGTCCGAGACCTTCACACTCAGAAGCCTATGTTTTCAATGGGATGAATTAGGGCCATAAAGATCATGTCACAGAAGCAACCTCAACTCGCAAACATCTCCCACAGGACAGGGACTTCTGTGAGGTCTCTGTGGTAACAAAGGCCTTTTTTACAACACCCCTGATGCTGACTGCCCCTGCAGGAAGCTTACACTTACCAACAGCTAGTCCAGGTGGACCTCCGACCAGACCACCAACGAAGGCCACAGCCCCTGTGACCAGGGCGCCTGTACCAGAGTGCTTGACGGCCGCCTTCATTTTCCTCTCCCCAGAGATGGAGCACAGCAGCTTCATGACATCTTCCATCACGATGGGCATCTTGGCGAGCCTCGAAGGAAGCATTTCAAAGGGAAACTCTTAATGTGTGTCAGAGTATTTGCACCCAGTGTCACTCTTGCTAGAGTTTGGAGGACAGCCTCATGCAGAGAACAGGAGCTCTGCTGTATGCGGAACCGACACATCCAGCGATGCGATGGGTTCCTCGTCACAGAGGAAGTCGGGGAGCCACTAGTTAATAAGCACACAGAACGTGCAGAATGCACGAGAGGTCTTCCTTGCCCTCTGCATAACTTCTCATTCATGACAGATTATGGTACAGGCCCAGCCACAAGGTGCATCTGTTCATCACAAGTGAGGCAAGCGTGTCCTCTCTCGTGCCTGTGGCCTTCCTGCTGGCTCAGGCAGCCCCAGTGCACAGATCCTGGCAGAGGGCAGAACGTCCCAGCCTCAAGTCCTCTGTCATGTGACAGGGCAATGGAGCTCATGCCAAGCTCAAGAAGGGGAAAGTACTGGGCTCTGTGACCATCCTGGCCTGTGCCCGCACCTGCCTGCCCCGTGACCCTGAGCTGAGCATCAGATTCCTCACCTGTAAAGGGAGATAAGCCACCTACAAGCTGAATTCTGGAAAGGTCTGAGGGGAATGGATGCAAAGTACCTGTTGTGAGTCTGGAACACGCGGCCCTGAGACCTGATGGCTCTAAATGAATGTTCTGTTACTGATACACACCACTGGCTTTTCTGTAAGCAACCACTCCTAAAGCCCATCCAGTTCTGTATGGGGCATAGTAAAGGCAGGGACAGGACGGCCCTAAGGACGACCAGTAAGATGGAACAACCAGAGAATAAAATAAACCAAAGAATTCCAGAGGTTTTCATGTGTTTGGATAGACAGACAGATGGACCTTTGGAACAATGACCTTAGAATAATTCTTGTGATCAGGAAACTGTTGGCCACACTGGTGGGAAACTGGCAGGCAGACAGGGCAAAGGCAGGGTGGGCTCGGCCCCAGGGTCAGGGGGAATAGAGAGCCACAACGCTGACAGGACACCTGATAGGACCCGGAAGTAAAATCAAAGAGACCATGGGCTGGTGCTTCTCCTCTTGGCTTCAACTGGACCCAAGGCTGGAAGGTACTTCCTTTCCTTCACTCCCCTTTTCATGCAAGCAGTGCCTAAAGGAACTTGGGAAAGTTTGGGGCAGACCCTGTTGCTCAAGAACTCTTGGTTACCTCTCCTTTTGACCCAACAAAAATCCAGAACCAGCCACTCATGTAGAATCATCCTCTCAATCCTGGAAGAGAATTTTGAGCTCCTAGAACAGCTGTGGGTCTGCTGGATCACCACAGTCGGGGTTCAGAATTTCTCTGCAGTCCTAGGAGAGGTAAGAAGTGTCCTGGGCTCTGGCCCCTGCCATGTTCTGAATCAGTGATTCTCCACAAGCGCACCCCACTTTGGATAGCAAGACTCTAAGAGACCATGACCCAGACACCTGACATTGGCTACTTAGTCCTCGAGTTCAGAAAATGCAAACAAGTACCCCACAAAGTGTCTGTTTGACCAAGTGGGGTGTAGAGGCAATGGAGGGTCAGACCCTGCAGGGGTGCTCAAGGGACTGGAGGAGAAGTCAGGAGTGCCTGCCCCCACTCTGGCACCATGTGTCCTGGACTTGCCAGCACACCTCCGAGCTTCCTGCCCCTTTCCTCACTACTGGAACCCCTTGTAGACAGAGTCCATGCCGCCTCCTCCACCCTGGAAGAGAGCCCACGTGAGGGTCATGACTTGCCCACACACGAAGGTCACAATAATAAAATAGCATTGTAACAGCAAAAGGACTGCGCATGGCAGAAGTCACTGAGAAATGAGGGGATGGAAGCTGTGACTTGATTTACCCAGTAGCCATGGAGCTGTAAAGCTATGCATATGAGTTTTATTTCAAATACTAATTTAATTCACATATTGATAATCAAAGGAATTAATTCCATGGTAAAACTTTCAAGAAGCTAACAATTCTCCTGTAAAACACCTAATCGTCAGATAGTTTATATCTGGTTTATATCCAACCTTCTATCTGTCCATTATGCTGGGAAAAAGGGAGACGAAATTCGGACCCAGGAAGGCCCCTCTGGGGGTGTCAGTGAGCTTCCCATTTCCAGGCACACGAAGACCCCAAGCATGGCTGCCAAGTTGGCTTCTTGGCCAGGGCACTCTGCCCAGACACTGCTCTTAAAGCAGGGTTTCTGCACGATTATAGACCTACACTCTGGAAACACTTTCTGCACAGCAAGAAAATGCACGGATAGGAGGCAGGAAACAGCCACTTCATACTCTGTGGTCCATCTAAAAACCTAGCTTCCCACCTACTCTGAATGACTTCATACAAACCCAGAGGGGCTAATAAGGCATCATCATGCAAAGACTACTTACTCCCAACCTCCACTCAGCCCAGACAGACCAGCCCAAGGCAGGAGCCCAGGGCTCTGTAGACCTGGAGGGCCAGCAGGTGTCCTGGTGTGTGGGAGGGCACGAGAGGCCCACCTCTGGCTGGGTTCAACAGCTTCACACCACAGCAAGACGTGGCACTGTGGCTGCCTCAATGCAAGACAGAGCTGGTTTAATTTCTGTGTGAAAATCATTTTAGATTTCAGAGCATCAATAGACTCTTGTGGAAGAAAGGTTTGTCACCCCATCTCCTGAGTCCTTGCTGGAAAGCCCACCCTCCTGACTTCTCGGGGACTGCCAGATTGAGGAAGAAAGCTGGTCCTGCTTCCCTCCCACTCCAAGCTTGCCTTTGTCTGTGAGCAGCAAGGAAGCCAGTAAGGAGGGAGGAGGGAGGAAGAGTACTCTGAAGGGGACAGACCTCAGAGGGTGGGAATGGAGTTTCCCCTCCCCATATCACACCTATTTCAGAATCAGATTTGTCCACAACACGGGCTCTGGTCACAGAAAGCCCATCTGCCAGCCACAGGGAAGGCAAATGCCAACTTGAAGCCCTGGTTTCTTGCAAGTACCAGGCTGGTCTGCTGATGACAGCAAGGTTCTTTGGAAGAGGGAAATGAACCCATCCCTGGGACTGCAGCCTGGCTTTTTGAGATGGACCAGATTGTGAGAGAGCAGAGAGAGGAAGGCTTCAGAGCTAACGGAGACCCACATGCACTGTGTTAAAAAAAAAAAAAATTGGAAAAGCAGAGCCTCTTAAGGAGTCAGAGTGATCTTGCTCACCTGCCATCCTCAGTACTTTCTACTTCTCTGTTGGAATTTATGAAACTCCTCTGTGTGGCCTGACTCTTGCAAGCCTTGGGTCCCCACCTCTGTAGGCCGTGGTGCAAAGGTCCCATGTGGACCCCACCAGCACTGTCAGATTAGCCCCCAGACTTTTCAATGACCGAAGTGTTGCCAGTATTTAAAAATAAGATTTCACATCCATCTGATTCCTGATTTCTCTCGAAAAATCAAAAGAGCAAGTCCCCTGGACCATCTTCGTAGCCACAGAGGCCAAAGCTGAGCAGGTCTTGCCTTCTGTCTTCCATAGGCGCTGGCAGGGCGCCCTTACCTGACCAGGGACCCATAAGTAAGTCATCTGCAACCTCTCAAAGTCCCCCTGCTTCCTCTTTTAAAGGCTAAAGAAGCCACCAGTCCCCACCGTAGGAATTGTCCCCTCTGAGATCCCTGACATCCACTCCTGATGATCTCTGAACTTTCCCCACAGGGCGAGGCCAGGGGTGCTGACTCACCGAGTATCCTTCTAGGACTCTGTCCCGCAGTTCTAAAACCTGCCGCCCCACCCACGCACCTGGGACGCAGAGGAGGGTGACGCGCACCCCGGGTTACTAAGGAAGGCAGGGACAGGCAGGTAACTGGGGAGCTCATACACGCATCCGGGTCACAACGTGGCGCCCCGCTGGGAGCCACAGCCCTACCAGGCCGCTGGGATTGTAACCCCAGTTGCCGCGGCCGCTGCCACTTACTTCTGGCGTGACGTCAGCCTCTCCGTGCCTCGGTGTCCTCATGAGGGAAATGAATACCCTAGCGGCGTGGACCCGGCTCCGCAGCCCCCCGGGCCCCGCGCCCCAGCGCTCCGCCCCGCCCCCGCGCCGCGCCGCGCCCGCGCACGGAGCCCTTCACCCGCCCGGACCGGTCCGTCCCCCCGCCCGCCCAGGGCCTCCGGGCCCCCGCGGCCGCCCCGCGCGCAGACCCCACCCCCCACCGCCTTCCGGCTCGCCAGCGCGGGGCCTTCCGGTCTCCACTCACCGGGCGCCGCGCCGCGCGTGCGTAGCCGCCGGCCGGGCCTCGCCGAGGAGCCCGAGGGTTCAGGCGGCGCCTCCCCTCCTCCGGCCCCGGCTGGGCCCAGGTGTGGCGGGCGGACTGCAGTCCCGGTGCCCGAAGGCTGCGCTGTGTCGCGCCGGCGCCAGGCCCCCACCGCAGCCCGCGCACGTGTTACGGGGGCTCCCCTTGCACCTTCCCGAAGCTGGAGGAGGCCTTTAGCCCGGGATTCAGTATCCCTGCTCCTGCGGCCCACAGGCCCTCCTCCTTCCCCTCCGCCGGCGCAGAAGAGAGCCCCGTGACCCCTGGAAGTCCCAGGGGCTAAATTCCTGTTTGCTGAATGTATGGGCCGAAGTCCAGCACGTGGTGCCACCACCTCCAGGTGCGGTCACCGGTGGGGGGCCCTGGGTCAGCAGGCTCAGCTCTGGCTTCACTCCTAGGGTTCCAGCAAAGGGGGAGTCCAGCTTCCAGGACAAAGCTGAGGTCGGGGAACCTCTTGAGAGGGGGCAGAGGTGTGTGTGGTGGGCTTGCAGGCAGTCCTTCAGAAGGAGCATGGAGACGATTCCCTCCCCACCGCGCGCCCTGAAACACATACACACACACACACACACACACACACACACACACACACAGGCTGGCCTTGAACCATCAGAAATATGAAAAAGGCTCTGGGGGCTTTCCATGGACGAGCCCTGACACTTAATCCTGACAGTGTCCTCTCACCTAGGCATGGTCGTCCCTGCCACATGACGGGTAGGAGAAGTGAGGCAGGGACGTTAGTCTGCCCAGGCCACCCAGGTAGGGAGTGTCAGGGTCCAGACTCTAACCTGGGTCCAGCTGGTTCAAAGCCCTCGCTGTAACCAGTGCTCGGCCGGGCTTTCCTGGATGCCCTGCGCACCCGGCGGATGGGCCTCTTTCAACTGCCAGAGTCATCCTTTTGTTTTCTTCTTTTTTCCTCTTTTAAATGGGAAGGTACTTTGGGAGTATGTGTGTATATACACACATACAGACACACACATATACATACACACACATACAGCAGTGTATATGTGCCCCAATAAGATGTTTCTTTAAAAAAAAGTTACATTTTTGCTGACTTACAGAAAGCTGTACGTATTTAATGTATATAACTCAATGAGTTTGTGGTTAAGTGTACACCTGTGAGACCATCATCCCAATCTATACCATGAAATTATCCATCACTCTGGAAGTTTCTTCCCGCCCTTTTTATTATTATCACTTCTGTGTGTATGTGTGTGCCTGCGGTAAGAACGCTTTACATAAGAGTTACCCTCCTTAGTACACGTTCAGTATACAACAATTTTAATAGCTATAGGCTATTATTTTATATTTATTATTTATATTTATATATAGCTATAGGCTATTATTATAGGCAGTATGCTGTGTAGATTCTCAGCACTTACTTATCTTCCAGAACTGAAGTTTTGTACCTTTAACAATCATCATTTTGTTACTTCCCCATCCCTCCTGTCCTCATCGTGAGAAAGGGGCTCAAGCATGAACCAGGGTTCCTGGCCACAGTGAGATAGCCCCACCCACTTCTGAACAGCAGCTTACACTTGAGTTTGGGGGACTTTCAACAGTGAAGTTCACTGAGGCAAGAATAGCTCAACCACCTCCAGCTCCGGCCTGGGGGAGATTCTCCCATTTCTCTGCGGGCAGCTCCCTCTAGCGGCTTCTTAAAGAATTGGGCTGCTGACTCCCCCAGAGGTGGGAAGGGGAGCACTGGTAGACAGGAAAGATGCTGGAAGGGAAAAAACCTGCAAAGTCAGGGCCCTCCAGAGAAGGGGAGCTGTGAGAAGTCCAGTAAATGTTGCGCCTGTTGACAACCTGTGACCTTCATTCTGATATGAATGAAGTCATAAAATGGAAGCAGACACCAAAGCCCATGGATGTAACACATGATACCACAGTCTCCTAGTGACAGCCAGGCCTCCTGCAGCGTGGTCCTGTGAATGACAGGTGCACAGTGGTATCCCCATCATGGTGACTGTGCACTGACCCAGCATCCAGACAGTGCTCTTATGATGCTACCATAGTGAGGTCTGGCTGAGTGACCTCAGGAGTGTCATTCAGCTTCTCTAGGCCTCAGTTTGCTCATTTGGGAAATGACGACAACAATCGTGCCTTCCCACAAGGTTATTCTGAAGATTAAAGAAGGTAATATGTAGGGATCTAGATTATTTTTGTTTGTATCATAGTGTGTGAAAATGAAAAACATCTCCAGAGTCCCAAAAGTGAGCCTCGTGTCCAGAGAGGCAGGAAATCAGATCCCACCCCTACTGTCACAACCCACCATCCACAATCCACCATTCTGGGGGTCCAGGAATCCCCCACCATGCGAGGCTGCGTTCACAGAACCAGCGGGGACTTGGGCCCATACATTCATCAAACATTAACATAGCACCTTGAGCTTCCCAAGGTCCCTGGGCTCTCTCCTGGGCCTGTTGAGGGGAGGGAGGAGCAGCCCTAGGCCTAAGGGTCAGAGATCCTGAATCAAAGGCCAAAGGGAGACAGGGTCCCCAGGAAGCATCTGCAGGCTTGAGGAAGATGCAAGGTGAAATGTCCATATAGAATGTGTGTGGGCTGGGGTAGAGGGCAGAGGCTGGATGCGAAGAGTGTAGTGTGGGGGCCATGGGACCTTCTAAGGCCAGAGCCTGGTTCCCCCCACCTTTTCTAGAGTTCCAGTCAGCAGCTCCTAACTTATATGGCTTTTTCAGGATAATCCCACTCAGCCCCAGGGCTGGATAATGCCACACATAGGTCACACACACAGAAAACCCTGTGACCTCTTAATTAAGCATATGAGTAAACTTGATGTCACTTTGAAAACTAAAGTCTTATGGTCTATGTTCTTTTTACTTTAAATTACCTCTAAGAAGGCACCATAGTCTAGTGCTTAGGGGCCCCAGGACTCTGGATCCAGACTTATAACCAGTCATTTAGCCCAAAGCAGCCCGAGAGACAGGGTTTGGGGTCAGGAGAGGTTCCAGCCCCATATGGTGGGCCTAGGACCCGCTTCCCTCCTTTGTCCCAGGGTGGAGGAGGTCTCCACAGCCCCCAGTCTTTTCCCCAGGATGCATGCCATTTTTTTGGTATGTGAAGTGTTCAGTGCAGTGGGAGGCACCTATCAGGGATTCATTAGTTTGCTAGGGCCCTATAACCAAGGACCACAATGTGGGTGGCCTAAAACAGGACTTTATAGTCTCTGTTTTGGAGATGAGTCCACGAGTCTGCAGGCCCCAGCTCCCTCTGAAATCTGTGGGGCAGAATCGTTCCTTGCCTCTTCCTAGCTTCTGGGAGTGGCTGGCAGTCCTTGGCAATCCCTTGGCTTGCAGCTGTGTCTCTGCATCTGTCATCACTTGCCATCCCCCCGTGTGTCTATGTCTGCGCCCCAGGTTCCCTCTGCTTATAAGGACACCAGTCATATGGGATTGAAGGCCCACCCTGCGGACCTCATCAGAACTCGATTACACCTGCAGACTCTATTGTCAAATAAGGTCACATTTACAAGTACTGGGGTTAGGACAACAAATATCCATTTGAGGCGACACAATTCAACGCCAAACACCAGGAAGTCAACAAATGCCAGCCGTGATGATAAGCACATGAGTATGCACACGGTCCATGCTGGCACAAGGAAACTAGCAGGCTCAGCCCAGCCTTGTGTCAAAGTCGCTGTGCACAGAGGGACCCTCGGGACGCCTGCCTTTGGTCTTGGAGGAGCTGCGTTCTGCAAGGACTGTTGCCAGACAAGGGGCTTTGGGAGTGGTAATGAGCCTGTCCCGGCTTCATCATTGTTCTTCTGAATGTTTTTTTTCTCTTCCTTGGTGTTTACATCCTTCAGATGTTTGTAGATGGCTATCCTGCCCCTTGGTCATCACTTAGCGCCTGTCTGCGTATTTGCTGTGGTGTGTTATTATTATTATTGTTGTTGTTCCTATGTCCTCCTTGCATGCTCACTTGGTCCCTCAGCCACCATCACTGCTGCCTGAATTTCCTGCAGGTTCCCAGCCCTGCAAGAGCCGAGTTACCGGGATGGAGCATCCGAAGTCAGGAGTCAGGTGACAAGGGACAGCTCACAGGCCCTCTGGCTCCCTTCTCCTCTGTCATTTTTGTCAGTTTCCTTTACGAGCTAAGTGAAAAACAGCATGCTTACAGGGCGAGTGCAGTTTCCAGACAAATCCCCTGCCCCTGCTTCCATCCAGACAGTCCCCAGTTTCCTCAGCTATGAAATGAGGATAAAAACCCTTGCTCTCAACACCCTGGGATTGCTGTGAGGATGGATGAGACCAGAGTGGAAAGTGCCTTGTACACTACAAAGCGGTGAGAGATGCGGTACCAGCAATGCCTTCAATGCATGAGTGGATCTCTGCCGAATGTTCCAGGGGTCTGCTGCTCTAAAAGCTAGAGATTCCAAATTAGAATTTACAAAATGAACTTGATAGAACTGAGATTCACCCTAAAATCTGTTTGTTGAAAGAATAGAGAGGTGCCCTACTTCAAAATCTACCGTCAGATTTTAGTATTCCAAATCAGTGTGGAACTCAGAGCCGATGGGCTCTTGGAGATGAGCTGGAGATGCCCTGAGGGGGCTCTGGAAAGTTATGCTGCTGTAAGACTTGAAAAAAAAAAAACCCACCTTGTCTTCCATCTGAGATCTCACTGAAGAGTTCTCTGTATGGGGAAGAGTTATTTCCAGTCTGACAAGAATGATTTTCAATGGTTCAGTTGAACACGCAATTCTCATGCAGGTATTTCTATAATTATCCTGTTTCAGTTAGAATACAGTTTCTGGAACGATGGGACTCTTATTGTATTGTCATATCTGTTATATTAGATGTTTTATTACAGAAAATGATGGTAGGGTCACTGGTATGATTCAGGAGTTTTTATTTCAAACTGCTCATAGGATGGAAATTCTCTTCCCCCAGTAGTTTTCACTTTAATGCTGTTTTGGTTGTTTTTGTTTTCTGTATTAAACTTTGGTGTGTCCGGGATTTTGTTCCATGGCAGAATATGGGGTGTTTGTTTGTTTTTCTGTTTTTTGCTCCATACAGACTGTGGCCGAGTCCCCTTGGTGTGTGTTTGTTTCCGTGTTGTTGGCATGTGGTGCACACGGTTTCTT